GTATGGCGCTGGAGCGGCTTCGCTATGTATGGCGCATGCGCTGTATGTAGTGACACCACACATGCACAGTACATAGCGGTTTGCCGCCCTGGGTGTCACGATGCCTTCATTCGTCCCTGGATGGACCAATGGTTTTACTACTGTTTTAGAGTCCTTGGCCACTCATTTACAGTGATAAGGACAGTCAAGCTCACTACAGCATTTTGTATTCATAATAAAAGTTTGAAAAACAGAGTAAAAATGCTGAAGTTGTGAATATGGAACTAAAAAGATCAAACTGTTAAAAAGAAAATCCCTGAAAACTGTTCTGGCTCTGTAAACTATTTTCAAAACCACATTCCTTGCCTGCCATATAACATCAAATGTGTAGGACCCTATCCAGAAATCCTGAGTTCATAAATGCTTCATCATGACTATATATGGCCGTTATGAAATTCCAAAGACATAATAATGTTCAGCCTAAAACATGTTGGCCAGGATCCAAAGGGCTGCAAGTGGAAAGGAAATTACTCCTTGCAGTTTCAGGCAAGGACGTACAAATCCTAGAGTAAGAAATGAATGCATTGAAAGAAAATGTGCTACTTTTGATCTTCACATTTGGAACAAAATCCCTGTATAAGGTTTTATTTTCCTCGTGCAAAGTTCTACTACAAGCTTTAAGAAGGAAGCTTTCCCATGAGTGTTGGGCTGCTAGACATTTGGAGTCCAGCCAGACAAAATCAATGGGCACACTTCCAAGTAAGATATTAAGGTCTGAGCTGTTAGATCAGTAAAATCTTTAGTACTGTTGTTGGATATACCAGCCAACATTTCACAGATAACAAATAGGGCTATGCCTTTGCCCCCTGTTGTTCTACCAAAATTTTTTGCCTCCTTATTCTTGGTTGAGGACTAGATTAATTTGCTATGTCCTCCGCTTATTTCCCCAGTCTGTTCTCTAATGATTTAAAAATCAAGATGGTGATGGTTCTTTATGTTAAATACATATTAGAAAAACTTAAGTGTCCTACAGTGTTCTGATTCACGCATCATGGCAAACTATAACATCTTGTGAATATGCAAGCATGTGGGCTCCCTACCCAGTTGCTCCTACCCAGTTGTTCTGCTGCTATTGTTGTCCCCTGATAAACCATATGTTCAGACCTAATGCTAAGCCAAACCATGGATTAGCCCCAGGTAGAAAAGCAGCAATGTAGGAGTAGGGTTGCCATATTTCAAAAAGTGAAAATCTGGAAACAAAAGTTGAGTTTTTGAGCTATTTTTTATGAAATCTGCCAAAATCTACAATACCAACATGGGCTGCCATACATCTGGATTTCCCCAGACATGTCAGCAATTTCTGCCAAGACACAGTTTACGAGGGCTGAATACTGGATATATCCGGGAAATTCTGGATGTATGGCAACCCTAGGTAGGAGGGCATCAACCTCAATTCTCACTCTTTCCTCATGGTTTGGCTTTAGCATTGCATGTTAAGAAAATAAAAGAACACGACAGAAGTTTGAGCCAAATTGTGAACAGGGACAGAAAACTGAGTTTTGAGTATTGTCTGCCTCCACAGAAATCTGAACTGGTTGAAGCTGCCTTCACCAATCTGTGGAGTGTTTAAGTTGTGCCTTCACCTAGGTTCAGCCTGTATATTTGTAAACAAAGGAAGTATTACAAAGATGCCAATAATTCTCTAATGGCTCTTTCAAATTTGGGTAAATGCTGCACCCCTGGTCTGTAAAATCGGAATGTTTGTAATAAGAAGGAATGTACGCTATGAGCATATAATGTCAATTCTGGCTCAACTGCACTGGCTGCCAATCAATATCCTGGCCCAATTCAAAGTGCTGGTTTTGACCTATAAAGCTTTAAATGTCTCAGGACCGCAATACCTTTCCCCATATGAACCAACCTGGACTTCTTCGTGTGCCCCCTCCACAAGAGGTCTGGAGGATGACAACACAAGCCTTTTCTGCAGTGGCTCCCCACTTGTGGAATGCTCTCCCTGGGGAGGCTCACTTGGTACCTTCATTACATATCTTTAGGCACCAGGCAAAAACATTATTCTTCTCCCAGGCCTTTGGCCAATTAAACAATCTATAGCCTTTTAAGTTGTGCGTGGGTATTATTGTTTTGTTTGCTAATATGTTATGTATTTTGTGTTTTTATACTGTAAATCACCCTGTGATCCTCAGGTGAAGGGTGGCACAGAAATTTCAATCATCATCATCCACAGCATCTCTAGATAGGGCTGGAGTGCCACTGATAGTCAGCATAGACAGCATAGACCTAGATGGGCCAACGGTTTGACAGAGGATAAAAGAGCTTCCTGTGTTTTTATGTGGAGGTATTTTGGTTTTGAAAACCTACTGTAAAGTCTATCAAATCAGATATTAAAAGACTTTGAAAAAATTCTAGTCTAGTCTAGTATAAATGTTCACTTCTTTCAAATGTGGTGCCAAATATATTTTCATGTGCTTTTGCTCTACACCATACACATTTGAATAGAATGGTTTTTTTAAAAAAATGACTCAGAGTAGACCCATTACTGGAATTTGAGAGCTAATTAAAGTTATTCACGCATTAAAAAGAGGCTTTAGCTATATTTTCATACACTGTGGGGATTGAACCTTCGTGACAGACAGCAGCAATAGCAAGTCTCTGAAAAGGAGAGGAATGCCTTAGTAATAGTTTTGAATGGTATAAAACAATTAGGCTTCTGAGCATAATCACAACCTGCTGTCTGTCTCTTCTTTTCTCTTATGTTTCATAACTTGGTTCAAAGTTAACATGAATTTGTTTTCTCTTAGTAATACTGTGTGTGCCTTTGTAAAAGTACAAAACAGCCATAATACTATTTTGAAGAGCCATAAAGGTTTCCAAACAGTAGTTTCCCTCACCAGAGTTGTCTAGCTACGAGCACAGCAAGAATCTGGCTCACTTTTCCTGCACCTGGCAGGAAAGGAGGATGAAGGCAGGGGGGGAAATGATCAGAGTATCTATCCAAAGGATCCAAGCATCCCATCATAATTACCAGAATGGCAGAGAAGCTTCTGGCAACTTACATCATGTGGAACAAGGCCAAGGCTTAGAAATCACCATCACATGGAATAGCCACTTTCTGTGGAATAGCCACTTTCACATGGAATAGCCACTTAGTCATTTTCTGACTTTCCTTAGCGTGCAACTGAAGTGCAGCATTAAAACGTTAGCTAATAATGATTGAAATCCTGTACAGAAAATAAATACAGACCTGAGAAAATAGCAATACTTAGTGTATTCCCAAGGCCAGTGTCTCTTCACATGCAGATAAATGAGATGGCAAGGAAGTGGTACAAACCTATCACCCAAGAGTGGTGAATGGACTGCATCACTTCAGATGACTGGTTTCCCACCAGGGCTGTTTGCCAGGATGAAAGAGCACTTGCCCAAGTGCTGTTTGGTGGGCACCTCTCCTGCAGTAGTAGGTTTCCCTGGTTGCAGGCTTCCCTGGCACAGGTGGGAGGGAATGGACCATTTTACATTTCTCACAATGCCCTGGAGTGCCAAGTGTAGCCTTGCTCCGGGTCCTTGGGAGAAATTAAAAATAGCAGCTTCCCAGGTCCAACTACCTTGTACAGGCACCCCAGTAACAGTGGGCTTTGCCAGGATTCTGGGGCCTGGTCTGATCTTGCTAACAACCCCCCCTATAAATAAAGACTAAGACAGCAGGAAAGAGGAATCTATCCTAGTTCTTTGCAGGAGGCACTGGTTTTTAGGGAGCACTAAAAAAATAAATCCTGTCAACCTAGCAGTTCGAAAGCACGTCAAAGTGCAAGTAGATAAATAGGTACCACTCCAGAGGGAAGGTAAACGGTGTTTCCGTGCGCTGCTCTGGTTCGCCAGAAGTGGCTTAGTCATGCTGGCCACATGACCCGGAAGCTGTACACCGGCTCCCTCAGCCAATAAAGCGAGATGAGCGCCGCAATCCCAGAGTCGGCCATGACTGGACTTAATGGCCAGGGGTCCCTTTACCTTTACCTAAAAAAATAAATCTTCCATTATTGGGTCCTGCTAAGGCCCAATCCCCATTAGAGGCTCCATTGCTCACAACAGAGGACTTGGCTCTTGCTGCCTCTTTACCTGCCTCTGGAAGTGTGTCAGCAACCGCAAAAGCAAGGAGAGTGAACAATGGCTTCCACGTGCCCTCTCCTTCTGGGCAATGGTGAAAACTGAGTCAAGAGGGAGAGGACAACTGAATGGCCATTGCTTACAGTGCTAAGAAGCCAGATAAACTTGGAGCAACTTCTAGTGCCCAAGCCCGCCCCCCTCAAAAATCTTCGGAGCCAGCACTGTAATGGCTGTTGGGAAAGCTAGCTTCTTGCTGTTTTGACAATTGTTTCCCAGTACCAGCTGGTGTTTATTCTATTTTTACTACAGTGCACAGATGTAAAGAGAAACAACTGGCGCTCTCAACATGACAGAATTTTCTTCTTTGTTCCTCTGTTTCAGCTCTAAAACAAACAAACCCAATCCTTTGAATTCAGTGTTCCTGATATATTATGTTCTAGATGTGTGGAACAAATTGCTATTTCAAAAAGGCAAGTACTAAGGACATTCATGCTTCCCGCTCATAGAATTCTAATTTGTTAAAATCCACCTGCTGTTGCTTTATTAGAAGCTCATGCAGCTCTGACACAAACAGGTGGAAGCTGGAAGGTTTGTTTAGTGAAACTGCTTCTTCATTTTTAAGCATATCACAACCACTCTGAAATATATTGCCACCTAACAGCGGAAATTCCAAATTTTAGTGAGTAGTAATTTGCAGCATGAACTATTTCTAGTCAAATGTTTCTTATATAGTTCGTGAAATCATTCTTGGCTATTGCCTTCCTGGAGATCTACAACATGCAGGGGTAAAAGCAGCTGAAAAGCGAAATGAGTTTTGACACTCTGTTCAGTTTAGTTTTGCACTAAGGACTAATTGCCTAGTCAGGGAAGGGGAAGTGTAACATTTTTGTTAATATGCTTACCCGAGGGCCCTGATCACCTTGATCTCCCTGCAAAGTGGAAAGATGAGATGATAGTTTTAACACAGCATCTGTGTGCTAGCCCAGCTCTCTTAAATAATCTCACATCATACTGCTTCAATAGCCACCAGTTAACACCAGGAGGGCTTCCACTTATTGTGTTAGTGGCAACAGCATGCTGAGACTCACCTTCTCGCCTTTTGGACCAGGTGGGCCCTGAAAGAAACAGGAAAATATATTCATTAACAAATGATAGGTGGTCACGGTGAGCCAAAAATGTCTGGTTCTCACATGAATCAGGTGCCATTAGACTGCAGGAGTGAGGGACGTGCAGTGGGGAGGACAGTTGACTGAATGTTATTCCATATAACAAGGTATATGCTACCTGAGGTGAAGGACAAGATGGTGCCCTGCAAAATTACTTGTACAAAAGCCAACTAGATTTGTAGTTTGATGATGATAATAATAATAATAATAATAATAATAATAATAATAATATATCCCACTCTTCCTCCCAAAGGAGCCTAGGGTAGCAAACACACATAGGGAAGCAATTAAAACATATAATAACATCTTTGAAACATCTTAAAAGCAATTCCGATACAGATGCAGACTTGGAAAGAACTCTACTTGAAAGCCTTGTTGGAAGAGGAAGGTCTTCAATAAGCACAAACAGACAACACAGGTGGCCCCCCCCATCTACTATTTAAGGGGAGGGAATGCTCAACACCAAGGCTTGATTACTATACTGTATGGACCTCCTGATAGGATGGTATTTGCAGGAGGCCCTCACCTGCAGGGTGCTGTGTTTGATTAGGTATACAGTATATGTTGAGTTTTGCTTCAACACCGGTGATGGGACGACATCCTCCGCTACACCTGAGGTAAGCAGGCACAGACAGTTTGCATGGCACACACAGCTCTGTACTCCAGCATGTCACTACCGCTCTGTGCCCCCAGCACCTGCTGCTTCCCTCTATCTAATGGTAGGACCGGCCCTGAGCCCTGCAGATTGGAAATTATCTTGTTGTGAAGGCTAGAGCCCAGGCACAGGCTTAGTGCCTCAACCATTGTTTGCAAAAACATGCCAGATTGACCCAGAAAGTTGCATACATAAACTAACAGGCTTATCATACAAAACAGGACAGCACGAAGGCAGAGCCTTCCAAAAATTGAATCTGCCCTCCCACTACAAATGTGATTCCTCAGGATGGTAGATATGCCACAAGCAAGATGAAAGAGGAGGAACTAGATGCACCATAGTTGCATCATAATTAAGCCCAATGTCAGATAGCGCAGTGGGCTTCAACCTATGCTCACTTTGCACATGCGATCGCAACTTTACATGGGTGGGAAATAAATATGTAAATAACGGGGGGACACCCACTATTCCCTGCTCTCTATTTATTTCTTTATTTCCTGCCCATGCCCCCAGCAGGTGTTCCTTGCTTACTTTGCTCTGGGAAGGTCACAGGAGCGCCCAGTAAGTAGCCCTCTGCCTTGAGGAGGGACCTATTCTGGGGGTTCTTGACTTTGTATGATTTTGCCTTTGCACACGGACTCCTAGAGCCAAACCCTCATGTATGTGGCAGACCAACTGTGCTAATAAATTAATATTTAAGCTTCGTCTTAAGGTGCATATCCTTAGCCATTTTAAAGGCCAATTCAGTGATTATTTTACTGCTGCAGTATCTTTAAGACAGGGTAAGCCATCCTTGAATTGCTCCTAACATTTTACAAACACCGAACAAAGAGATGAAAAGGAATAATAATACAGTAGAACAGAATAGCAGAATAGCAATGTACACCTTCTGAGTGATTTTATTAACTTCATTGTGACTATTCATCTTCCTTAATCTCCGTTCTCAGGGGCATGTGTGCACTTGGACCATAAACTGCCTTGGCAAACATACCTAATGGAGGTTCGGTTTTATGAATTTGCCATAAAAGCTGACACTTTGCCTTCAGTGTGGAAAAGGAACTTTTCATTCTGAAATACTCCCTTTGTGTACAAAGAAGTCTTATTAAATGAGATGGCATGGTGCAACACAGTGAGCAAAGATATTCTCTTTCATCCTGACAATCTTGGATGCTATTCCCCTTTAGAGCATATCATCATTTTAACTGTACTTGACAAGCAAAATGGCAATGTTGTTGTTTGATACTTCTTGGATGCAGCCCATTTGCCCCAATTTTTCAGAGTTTATACTGTTGCACTTTTCCAGTAAACAGAGACCAAAGTCCAGATCTTCAGTTCTCGACTCTGGCTTTCCATATTGATTTTACATTACACAGCCTTTGCCAACATGGTTCCCTCCAGATGTTTTAGACTACAACTCACATCAACCTCAGCTGGAACAGTTCAGGCCCTATCCATAGGCCCTGTTCATGTGAACACAGTGGACATTGTGGAGGGGGAGTCAGTCCAATGCAAGATGGCCATGTAAACCTCAGCACTATGTGCTAAGGGCAGTAGGTATCAGGATCTGATACTTCTTCTTTCTTTCTTTTTTTCAAGGTTTGATATAAAAATCAAAAAACACGTTCACAGTATAAATAGCCCACCACTTTTTTATTAGGTTGCTAGGTTAAGATGCCCACCTACTATTCATAATCGATAGATTCCCTGAACAGGATTTACTCTGAAATTTGTCACCCTACAGGTAGCCATGCAATAGCAAATTATGATTTCTCTTTTTTATAGGTAAGAGATGTTTCAGATAATCCATTAATATTGTGCAAACACAAAACAGGTTTTTAAAGAGGCAGCAAAAGGACTTGAGGCAAATATTTTTTAACAATAGCTAAGGTAACTTTATTTCTGTTAACATTCATGCATGTTAAAATACTTTGCCCTTCCATCTTGTTCAGTAACAGGGTATACAATATTGTTTACACTGTGTTATTTCCATGAGCTGTGTTTTTATTTTACTCAAAGGAGTACCTTAAATGTAAAACCCACATCCTCTGCCTTAAACATTCTGGCTGCAATCCAGAGAATCTCATGTGCAGAAGTGGTTTGTGTTCACACTTATGCATGCAAGGATCTGCTCCATAGAACATATGGCCATTTTATCTGTGGCAGCACTGATCACCTGTTGAGAGGAGAGAATGGAATGAAAGCGCCTGGATTCAGTTCCCCCCTCCCTCAAACAGGTGATCAGCTGTGTGTATGATGCAGAAACACCATTTATGCATCTATACCCCATTAGAGCATCTTTTAACATGTGCAAGATACAATCCAGAGGTAATTCTCACAGCGTGTTGTCCATGTTCCTATGGAGTGGTCGAATACAATCTTCTGCTGCTGAGATAAATAGTTCACAACTAACTAGAATGTGAACTGGTCTTATTCTTACTACTTCCAGAAATAATTCCTAATATACTGCTATGTACCACCCCAATATCTGAGCAGTGAGAGACTCTAGGAGTGGAGACTGTGGTGTCTGTAGGATATATGGTTTTAGTCACACCTATATACCACCTGGCTTGCCAATCAGAAGGTCAGCGATTCGAATCCCCATGACGGGGTGAGCTCCCATTGTTCGGTCCCTGCTCCTGCCAACCTAGCAGTTTGAAAGCATGGCAAAGTGCAAGTAGATAAATAGGTACCACTCTGGTGGAAAGGTAAACAGTGTTTCCGTGCACTGTTCTGGTTTGCCGGAAGCAGCTTAGTCATGCTGGCCACATGACCCAGAAGCTGTCTGCGGACAAACGCTGACTCCCTCGGCCAGTAAAGCAAGATGAGCGCCGCAACCGCAGAGTCTTTCCATGACTGAACTTAACTGTCAGGGGTCCCTTTACCTTTACCTATATACCACCTGAGCATATGATGGAAGTGCTCAAAGTATTAAAAGATTTTGCTTCTCCCTTACATTTCCAGAGAAGTTCCCAAGTCACAGCCTGGGATCCAGCACAGAGCAAAACATGTCTCCAGCTTCCAGCTGACCCACAGCTGAGCACAATTTGCATGAACATCCTCCATCCATGCCCCCCCCATTCCCCCTTCTACCCATTATTCTCAGGCCTTTCCTGAAGGTCCACCAGCTATGTCTGTTCAACTGGCTCTGAAGGATGCTTAGCCTAAGTTGCAAATGAACCACAAACTAGGCCAGAAGCATTACAGACCAACTCAGAAATGTTAGAGAGCCACTAACAAAATAATCATAAATTGGGTAGTATTCCACTAAGATTCACACATAGTCTCAATGAAGTTAATGAACATGGCTATCTTAGGTCCATTCATTTCAATAGGCTTACTCTGAGTAAAATTTAGTTTTTTCCAATGATGTGATGTCAGAGCTGTCCAAGTTATGTCAATAAAGTAGATCAGATTCAGGTTTCTTAAATCTAGTCATCAGCCATAACAAACATTTAATATAAATTAAATTTCTCTAACAGATGACAACATGTCCCCTTAAAAATTGTTGTTCCTCCTTTAACAAATGTTAAAGTGAAATGAATGTATGCAAATCTTAATAAAATTATATAACATATAAATACTTAATGTGTGAAATTTCCCTGACAAGACACAACATTCTCACTTTTTCTCCTCAGCATTTTCTGCTCCTATCAGTTACTACAGATAGAAAATGTGCAGTCTTTTACTGTTGCATATTTACCCTGTCCACCCAGTAAATAAATTACAGATGAATGGTTGGACCTCTCCACATCTCTCACCAAAATTTGTCCCAAGTAATGTTTTCTCAGAACAGACAACAATCAATATATAATCACATGTATGAGGTCTTCAACTCAGTTTAAACCACAAGAACAGGTACGTTCAGAATATCGGATATTTCTGAACCTTTCTTAAGACAGCTGAGAGCATCAGATTTAACTGGGCTTTAGTAAAAGCTATCATGTCTCTCTGTTTCTGCAAATTCTTAAAATAACAAGGTACGACAACAGGAATGTAAGGGAAATTCTCTCACAATGGTGCTATTTTAGAAACTGATACAGTTGCTCTGTCCAAGGGATATATCAGACAATATCTGTTTCAAAAGCTTTTGGTAAAAGCTATCTCAGAACTTCGTTCAGAAAAGCCTGAACTAAGAGATGAAACAAACCCCTTCCAAGAGTAAGTGTTCATTTCCTCAAAGGCTACTGTAAGAGGGCAGCAAGGCTTACTAAATATCATTTTTAGTCAAATGCCACTATTTGTATTACTGTTATGGTCAACATAGGTAAAGGTAAAGGTACCCCTGCCCGTACGG